AAAAACGTTTCTTTATGTGCAAATACACAAAATCAGTGGACCCTTCCTCTGCTATTGCCGCGAGGAGCTGTCTCAGGGGTCATACAGGTGGGGCAGAGTTTCCAGCTTGCTCTCTCTCTTCGCTTCCTCCACCCCACGCAGCCACTCCATGCACCTACGCACCAGCTCCTGGTCCACGACTCCCGGCGCCGGATCCTCCTCGTACTCCTCGTCATCGTAGCGATTCTGCTCGTTAAGCAGGGAGATCTTCATGATCGAGGTCAGGTTTAGGCCGGCCGTGCTGTGGGAACCCGGCAGTAGCCCAGTGTCGCCGATGGGATTCTTGAACCCCCACTGTTTCTCCAGATGGCGTCGCATCAGCAGTCTGGTCGCGTCGGCCGTGAGGATGATGTTGTACTGCTTCGCTGGGACTGTTGCCTTCGGCTCCCTCCTCGCCGCTGCACCTGGGTTCTTGATGGAGTGCCCGCGGGTACGGGTCGGGCTTGACCTCTGTGGCTGCTGCGGTGGCTGCGGCTGTAACAGTTGTTGTTGCTGCTGCTGCTGCTGCAGGGAGGCGCAGAGCCGGGGGTTGGGCAAGGGGCCGGTCTCTGCCTGGGGCACCCCCCGCGGATTCCTCTCCCTGGGTGGCAGTGCTCGATTCTTCGGAGCCACCTGACTCTTAGGCTGCACACGGGTGGTGGCAGAGCCAGAGGCTGCAGCAGCGGGAGGCTGGATGGGTGGTAGGGGCATGGTGGTGCCGCGTGACCCCTGTGTTCCGCCCGCTGACTCAGAAGCCAGCTGCAACCGGCGGAGTCCCTGGCTCAATAAGGTAGACAGGTGACGGTAGCAGGGCTGAGCCGGAGCAGTGGATGTGGGGGGAGGAGGAGCGGGCGGCGGAGCCGTGGAAGCGCTCACCCAGGAGGTCCTTTGGGAAGGCAGGGATGCCAACACCTGGGAGGGCTGCGGCACTCTTCTCCGGGCAAGCTTCAATGCCACCACCTGAGGGCAGCAGCACTGTCACCCGGAAGAACTGTGACGACGACACCCGAGAGGGCTGCTGCGACGTCCCCTGTTCCGGAGTTTGAACACCCCTGAAAAAGAGGGATGGGTTAAAACAGTACTCCAAGGGGAGACAAGTCAGACAGAGCAAGAGATGTCAAAAGATAATCCCGGAAACATTTACAAGAACAAACTCTACAGGCAGTTTGAGCAAGGCTGGGGCATTTACAGCTCTGAAATATTAGAGGGACTTGTAGTTTAGCTGCTAATACTCTGGCACCGACCAGTATTTTCAGCCCCTCAGGGCACATACTACTGCTCTTACACTGCACTCCTTGGTGCACAGGGGAACTGCTTTTTACATTTTAAAACAGTCATTGCCACTCGACATCTTTTGATGGTGATTAGTCCATGTGGCCTCATTCACACCTCCTTCCACCCAGAGCCAACAGCCTCTTTTAAAGAGTCTGTCAAGATCTGCTTTCTTTTGTTCCTCAATCTAAGCCTCTACCTCTATCCACAGCAGCAAGTGGTAGAACACAGGCCAATCTTCCACAGAAATATTATGCAAGCCTGTTTCCAAAGGGTGAGCACATGACAGTGTAAAAATGTAGCCACCATGGTGTTTTCTTAACAGAACATGCAATCATCTCCCAAAGATCTGAGTTAACATGCACGTGAAGACACGCTTGTTTCAGCTAAATCTGGAGGAGACAGAGCTACTGCTGGTGGAGAGAGGGAAACAAAGAACTTTCAGCCATGGTGTTTTCTTAACAGAACATGCAATCATCTCCCAAAGATCTGAGTTAACATGCACGTGAAGACACGCTTGTTTCAGCTAAATCTGGAGGAGACAGAGCTACTGCTGGTGGAGAGAGGGAAACAAAGAACTTTCAGCTACCTAAAAACTAGGACCTAGGCTGTCTACTCTGGCTTCAGGATCCTCATAGTCTTGTTATGCCTTAATCGCTGAAGTTGGTAAAAATGTTTCAACCACAGCTTGTCCCTAAAAATACTTTCACAGAAGCTAAGTACAGTATATTGAGCATATTGCATATAGCAAATTCATTTACGTGAACCTCTGAGGAGCATTTTTTCAAAATACCAATAAAATTAAAGATGCTTTAAAGCAGGGATGGGCATTAATTTTTGATGGGGAGGCTGTTCCAAGAGGTCAAGGGCCACAATTCTCTATGGAGGGGAGGTGGGATCTGGAACAGAAATTGGATGCGAAAGGGAGCTGAGGGTAGGGTTCGGGTGTGCAGGAAAGAGTATGGGCTGTGAGGGAAGAGGGTTGGGGTGCAGGAGAGGATTCTGGTCTGGAGGAAAGGTCTAGGAGGGGGTGCAGGATTTGGGAGAGACCAGGAACAGGAGGGATTGTGACCTAAGGCAGGGAGTTGGGGTGCCAGAGTAGGCTCTGGCCAGGAGGCACTTACCTAGGCGGTTCCAGGCTAGCTGCCTAATGGAACCCTGTGCCAAGTTCCCTGCCTACCACAACCCCAGAGCTCAGAGTGGCTGCTCCATGTGTCTTTCTGTGGGGCACAGTGGGGGGAGGAGAAGGAGGCTCTACATGCATTGCCCAGGCCCTCCAGCTATTACTAGGGTTGCTAGGTGTCCTGTTTTGAACCGGACAGTCCAGTATTTGAGCTGTTTGGGAAACAAATTGAGAAGATGTAGATGAGAAAATATAAAATGTCTGGTATTTTCCAAATGAGATGTAATGGAGATTGTGATGTAATGTCAAGCGTGTCCGGTGTTTTTGCTGAAATAATCTGGCAACCCCTAGCTCTTACACAGCAGAGCCCCACTTGTCATGTCAAATTGGAACCTGGACCAAACCAGATGATCAAAAATTCAGATATTCAGGAGAGTAGGGAAGTGTGAGGCCACAGCGCCATCTAGTGGCCATGGGAGGGTTGCCTGCTGCTGGCCCTGCATGCGCTGGTTATTAGGTCAACATGGAAAGTTGCACAATGGAAGGCTGGAAAAATGGGGCTCTACTGCACGAATATGTGAAAAGAACACTGATTTTATTGTTCATCTGTAAGGACTCCATATAATAGGGCACCTCGTATTACACACTCCTGGCAGTGACACACACACAC